TTGTCATTGCTTTTATTTTTTAATCAAATTTGCTAGTCTCAATAAAAATAAAAAAAGTTACTGGAAAAGGTAATGGTTTGTATCCCTAAAATATATGCACCATCATCTTAAACACTAAATTCTAGCTGTGTTTTAGGTAATGCCATGAAATCATTTAAATTTTACTATTTAATTTCCACAACAGCACCTGACTTGGTACCCTCACAACCCTTGTTTTACAGGATTAAGAAATCAAGCCTCAGAAAGACTAAGACAGTTGCATGAGATTACAAATGTAGCAAAAAGCACAAAAGGCTTTGAACCTCACTGTTCGGTACCTAGACAGATTCTGTGGGTGTGAGGAAGAAATTCTATTGAAAAAAGGCTTATATTTCACCTAATTAAAATTTATTGGCTATTACGTATTCATACTTAGAGTGACTAAATTGGTTCACCTAGGCAAGAGACTGTATCATATCATAAAAATGGAGACTTGGCATGGACTTGCTTTCGGTCTCTTGAGCCAGGTAGCAAATTCCAGCTACAAAACTAATATTACTAGACAGATACCTCAACCGAAATTTGCCAACACTCTTGCAAGTTTTTTCTTGCAGATCCAGGAGGGGAGAGACCTTGCTGATCTTATTTATCACTTGATAAAGGTAAAGGAGTATATTAATGCTTGGAGTGTTAGTCGCTCAGTGTATCCAACTCTTTGCAACCCCATGGACTGTAGCCCGATAGGGTCCTCTGTTCATGGAATTCTTCATTCAAGAATACTGGAGTGGGTAGCCATTCCTTTTCCAGAGGCTCTTCCTGACCTAGGGATTGAACTCACATCTCCTACATTGCAGGCAGATTCTTTACCTTCTGAGAAACCAGGAAAGCCCAGCGAAGTGTGGAAGACTCTGGCATTTAGTAATAGTGCTCAGTAAATATTTGTTGAGTGAACAACCAATCTTTTTCCAGGGTAAAATTCATGTGGACAGTCTCCACATTCCATCTTTCATATGGAATAAACAGATAGCCTGGAATGGGCAGGAGTACAACGAATGAGACCTGAAAACCACTCTGGGCTCCACTTTCCAAGTCGTGTGCCCCATCTGTATGGATGAGGGGTGCTATTTTCAAATTTACATATGTAATATGGGCTAGCAGTGATCCAGCCTGCAGGAAATTCATGAGATATGTATGTGTCCTTGAAACTGAGTATAGGTTAAGCATACTTTTTTTTTTTACTTTTTTTTTTATGTGCAGCATTTGTAAAGTCTTTATTGAATTTGCTACAACATTGCTTCTGTTTTATGTTTTGATTTTTTTGGCTGTGAGGCTCCCTGGCCACAGATGGAAACTGCACCCTCTACAGTGGAAGGTGAAACCACTGGGACCACCAGGGAAGTCCCTAAATGCACTTTCAACAAATAGATTTTTAGTACTTGGGGAAGCAAAGACTTCCATGTCCCTGCTTCTGGCAATGTTTGACCCACCAATATTCTGACAGACAAGCCATACTATACCAACTCTCTTCAGTGGTGAACTCCTCACAACCCCCAGGACTCCCTTAGTTCTGCCTGGGATGGTGGAAAGACTGCAGATGCCAACAGCTTGAAGAACACTCTTCTCAAATGTGTATTTTTCAAAGAAGTTTTATGATTCGCTAGCACCTACTTCAACTTTGTGATTTGATAGAAGGCTTCTCAGACTTGATTTAATAAATAAACATATTGATTGTTTTGAGTTTCCTGGCTCTTTTTACAGTTCTGGGAATGAATTACATTGAGGCTTGTCAATATTTATGTCAGTTTGCATTATCTCCCTGTGTTTCTTGATTGGAGTGCTACTGATGTTTGGGGTGGGTCAGTTCTTCATCGTGGGGACAGTCTCCAGCATTGTAGGATATTAATATTCTTATCCCCCCCCCACAAATGCCTGTAGTGCCTCAAATCACTGATACACACAGATATTTCCCACATAGTTTCAAGCACCTCCATGGGGAATGGCACCCCTATTTAGTGCCTCAACTGATCACAAATTACAGATGACTGAGATTTGAAAGTAGACAAGATTGAACATCACCAGACTCCCCAGGGAAAGCATACACCTGGCAGTTGGTCAGCCATCCTCCTTTTTATGCACCCTTCCACTTCCTCTTTATCCTTTAGAGTCTTTATTATGAAACCTGTCAAACTGAGGTCTGCACTGTTTCAAAGGGAAAATGCTTCCAGTACCTTAGAGGCAGCACAATGTGGAGGGTGTAGGAAGCTTAGTTTGACGTTAGTTTGACGTTCTGTTTTCATACATGACATATGATGTATCCAGGCTCCAAATCTATCCATCTGTCTGACAGTTATTGCCTGTACCAAGTGCAACGCTGGTGGCTTAACACACTTTTATTCTCTTTTATCCTGACAACATTTTTGCCACCTCTTAAAATGCTTTTTACATTCTCATTTTCTAGATGAAGAAGCCAACACTTTAAAAGGGTATACATAAAGCTGATTCACTTCATTGTACAGTAGAAACTAACACAACACTATAAAGCAATTACACTTCAGCAAAAAAAAAAAGGTATGAAATTTGGTCAGTAAACTTTCTGATTCCAGTATCTATTTTCTGACAATAGGATGGTCTCTTGCTGAAATCAAGTGAAAAGTCTTGCAGGAGTGAATGGAGATAGGAGGGCCAGAAAAAGGTTTCTATTCAAAGCACATAGAAGTCTTATCTCCCAGGACACACCAAGTGGCATCATTAGCGTTCAACCTGTCACCACCAGCTGGAGTTCCAGCTCATCTCAGATGAATGTGGGATGGGGGCGGGGGGGAGCCTCTGCAGGCAGGTTTCTACTTGGCACTGGGAAAGGAGTAAATTGGCTGTTGATTCATTAATAAACCAGGATAGTGTGTGGGCACTAATACCAGTCAATTCTCTGCTACTGCCTAGAGAATGTGGCTGCTACACCTCCCCTTCCTGCTTTGCTGCAAAAAACCATCCAAGACAGGATATCTCAGGAGAGGAAGGAAGAGAGGAAACTGACTGGTTGGTCCTAAGGAAACTGATACGGTGGTTCCAGGATTCCAGCACGGGATAAAGTAGCAGGAGGAGAATAGACATTGTGACCCATTCACACCATTCATACACTCATTCATTCATTCACTTTGTAATATTTATTGGGCATCTACCACTAGCCAGATTTTCTTCTAGGTGAAGCTACACCAACTAAAAAACAAACAAATACCCCTGCCCTCATAGAGCTTATATTCTAGTGAGGGGACACAGACAATAAGCATATTAATACATGGAATAATATATCAGACAGAGACAAGCACTCAGAGCAAAAAATTGCAGGCAAGGGAGAATAGAGCTTGTGAGTGTGTGTGTGGGGGTAGGGAGGTTGATTTTAAAACAGTGATCAGAGAAGCTCTCAGTAAGTGACATGTGAGTAAAGATCTAAAAGGACCACCATGCTGGGCCCTGTTCCAAGAGGTTCCCACTTAACACAACCACCCTGAGAAATATGGCTATGATTACCCCCACTTCACAAAGAGGCTGAGGTGAAGAGAGATGCAGTGATATCCGGAGATCACACAGCTAATACATGATGGAACTAGGATTTGAACCCAGGTAGTCTGAAGTTCAGCAGCTGAACCCTTGAATGTTGGTGCAGACAGCCTACAAACGGGGTATGAGGGCAAGCTGTGAGTGCAAATGAAGCCTTCGTGTGCACCCAGAAAGCCAGTACAGTGCCACCCATGGGCAACTGTGGCTGGACTTGCAGGGAGGAAGCGGGTAGAGGCTCTTGATATTTACCGAGTTTACTGGGACTCTCTGATCTGCGGCTGGGGAGCTGGGTCGGGCAAGGTGGGTGAGTGGGGGAGGGAGCTCGCTGCAAGGGTTGTCCTGGGCCAGCTGCCCCAGTCAATAAGGTTAGGACCTCACCAGTGCTCCTCACCCTCCTGGGTTCTCACAGAGCTCCCACCTGGGCGGCTGAAGAAGGTAGTGGAAGTGAGGGCAGGAAGTAGCACCAGCAGCTTCTACTGCAGAGAGAGGCACAGAGTTCGAGGAGGTCAGCCCAAAGGGCTAGCTGCAGGTGCCGGAGGCCCCAGTGCATTCCCGGGCCTGGAGGGGCGCCTGGGAGCCTTTGGGGAATGGCAAGAGAGGTGCAGAGAGACACGACTGAGAGACTGAACTGAAGAGAGGCGCAGATAGGGTCCCGGTGCAGCAAGTGAGAGAGGAACGACCAAGCGCTGGGATAGAGTAAAAGAGAGGAGAGCGCGCACATTGTTGCCTAGAGTGGCACAGGGGGAGCCGAAGAAATGCCTGGAGAGGGAGCAAGCTCACTGGAATAGAGGGACCAAGAGGTGAAGAAGGTTCAGCTGGCGGAGGAAGAAGTGCAAAGGAGCTGGTGTCCCAGAGAGGGCGTGCTGAAGTGTGGGACCAGGGGTTGAGAAGACACTGGGAATCGCTTAGGGACCCTCAGAGGGTGGCCGGGCGGCACCCACGGCGCAGCAAAGACAAGACTATGTGCTAAAATAAATAGAGACGGTGCTGCTGCTTGAGACCCGGAGCACCGGAGAGGCCAGGAGGGCGCAGAGCCTGCGCTCTCAGAGAATGGGGGCACGCTGTTGCTTTAAGAGTGGTGCACTTTGAGGCTTCAGAAGAAAAGGTTAAGGAGAAGTGGATGGGCGCCCAAGAATGTCGGAGGAGGCCGGGAGGGAAGCTGGAAAGTCAAAGGAAGAACTTGCTTGGGTTGGAGAGAATACACAGCACTGCTGGAAGTGGAAAGCCGCCCGGGTGAGGCTTGGTCAGGGTTCTGAGCGCCACCGGGAGCAGAAAGGCGGCGCTGATGGTTGGAGGGAGAGTGTGGAGAGCCTGAGAAAGGTGAGCAGAGGACAGAAAAGCCCGGGTGCCCCGGGCAGTGAGGAAGGGAGCGGTGAAGAGCGGAGAGAGTGAGGAGTCCCCACGAGGGAGTTCTGCCGCTTGGGTCTTCTGTGCCTGGCTGCTGCGGGTTCTAATTTACTCACCATGATGGAGAAGACTAAAGCCACGATGTTGATGGGGTACGCGGGGCAAAAACACGCGACGATGGCAAGCCACAGGTAGTTCTGGGGCTTGGGCACGTCCTCCTCGGTCTTGTCATCGTCAGTGTTGGCCTCAGGACTGCTGTCCAAAGCCCTCTTAACGTCCGAGCTGGGAGCGTACTGAGACATGGGCGAGGTTGGCCGTGCTGGGAGGCGCAGGAGCGCACAGTCGGCGCAGTCTGGGGCTTTGGCCGCAGGCTCCTGGCGAGTCGCTGAAAAGCCAGTGGTGCGGGACTCCAGGGAGACGTAATCTCACCCCTTCTGCGCCCTCCACTTGCACCTGCCTGGGCTCAGGGACCCGGGCCAAGAGTCTCCGGCACCGGAGGGAGGGAGAGAGCGAGGGCGTGGGGGAGGCAGCGGGGAGGAGAGAGGGAGCCAGCCAGCCAGAGAAACAGGGGAAAGGCACCCCTTGAGGACACACCCAGGGGCCATCAAGCAGACACAAAGACTTACAGGTTAAGAGTCTTACAGGGAAGGGAAAGGGAAGACTCTTTACACGGCAGACGGACTGACCTACTGGCGGAAGATGACCAGCTCCTCTTTTAAAGCAGCTGAATTTGAATTCATTCAGCATCACAGGAGGCAACCCAACTCTATCCAGTTGGGCACCCAGCCCTACTACCCAGGAGGTAGCAGACTTACTACTTCCTCTTGACTTTAGTGATTTGCTTTCCTGGCTCTATGATCTTTCTTCTAAGAGTTTGAACACTGAGCCTCACTGATTTCTCTTCCTCAACTGGTGGGCAGGGAGCAAGGCGCTCAGTCTGGGGCACTAACACACCGCCGAGGCGGCCTCTGGAGACTGGTGTGTCCACAGGCAGCAGGCACTGCCCAGGCAGGGCCTGTCCCGGCACCTCTACTTTCTCCCAAGTGTGCCGTCAAGGAGTCCTTCTCCTCTCCACTTTTCCACCTTGGAGGAGAGAGAAGCAGGTAGATCTAACTTGGGCAGACAACCCAGGTGGTTACCTGGGATGGACAGAAGAGAGAGGGGTCCACTTTGGGAACTGGAGTGAGGGTAGTTGAGACAGATCAGCATCTGAGCAATTCATGAAAGATGGTATGGACCAGAACTGGGGCTCCAAACCAGATGTAGTGGGGCAATCATCACATCTGAGTTGAATGACCTCAGAACACTTCCCTCACCTTGCTGACCGCCAATGTTTTCATCCAAAAGAAATGATAATAATAGTGGAATAATGAGAGTCCCTGCCTCATCACAGATATTGTTAAAGACTATGAGACTGCATGTCAAGTGAGGAGATTCTAAGTGTTCAATAAATTTTACCTATTATTAGGACGATATTCCCCCAAAATATAGTTATTAAAGGGCTTCTCAGATGGTGCTAGTGGTAAAGAACCCACCTGCCAATGCAGGAGACACAGGTTCGATCCCTGGGTTGGGAAGACCCCCTGGAGGAGGAAATGGCAACCCACTCCAGTATTCTTGCCTGGAGAATCCCACAGACAGAGGAGCCTGGTGGGCTACAGTTCATGGGGTCTCAATGAGTCAGACATGACTGAAGCGACTTAGCACAGACACCTACAGTATTTCAAACCCAGTATCTCTTGCTGTAAACAATTTATGAAAAATTCAGCTAGTCTGAGTTGGCAGGACCACAAAGAAATGCAAATAATTTCAGTGTGCACAGTTTCAAAAGCAGTTGCTCACACCATCACATGAAGAAATGAGATGAGGTGAGGAAATAATATGCATCTGCAGTCTCAGAACATGAACTGATTGACTGATGGTCTGGGATGCTCTCATTCATAGCATAGCCCTCTCTGATTTGAATATCTACCTCCCTCACTGGATGGCAAACTCCCTGGGAGAGGGAACTGCCTTGCTCATCAACACTTGGCACATATCTGTATTTTGTAATAAACATGTGCTTTCTGGGTAAACATATGAAGATGACACATCACTTATATGGGGAATCTTAAAAAAAAATGATACAAATGAACTTATTTACAAAACAGAAACAGATTCACAGACATAGAAAACAAACTTATATGGTTCCCAAAGGGGATAGCGGGGGATCCCATTGTGGGGGGAGAGATAAATTAGGAGTTTGGGATTAACATATACAAACTACTATATATAAAGCAGATAGAGGTAACAAAAGCCTACTGTATAAGCACAGGGAACTATATTCAACACCATGGTAACTTATAATGGAAACTGAAAAGGAGTATCTGTATCTATCTGACTCTCTGTGCTGTACACCTGAAACAATACGGTAAATGAACTATACGGCAATTTTTAAAAATGATTAAAAAAAAAAAGGGAAAATACCACAGTATCTTCCCCACTATGCCTTCTCCCCCATTTTGGATGGTTAATCAAGTAGGAATAAGCCAGAGAATTAGGTTCAACTACTGAGTTCTCAACTAAACCTTTGCCTTGAATGCTTTCCCCTGAGACTGTCACATGGCTGCTCCTCCTTATTTCTTATCTGTCAACTGAAATGTCACTTCCTCAGAGAGACAGAGAGTTTCTCTTTACATTCATCTAGTGTAGGTCCCCATAATTATTATATATTTTATTAGTTTTTTTGGGGGGGGGTAACATTTATCACTACTGTAATTTATTTGTGTACTTGTTTGTTGTCTATTCTTTGTTGAGACTAATAAACTCTGTAATCTGTTCAGGGCTGTATCTCCAGAACTTAGAATTGTCCTGGCAAATACTAGGGATGCAAGAAATAGTTCTTGAATGAATGGATCAGAATTACCTATGAGTGTTGAAAAATGATTTCCAGATCTTGATCAAGATCTACTTGAATGAGAATTTCCCAGAGTGGCACCCCAGAAATCTATATTTAGAATGCCTGGGAAATCTGTATTTTTAGAACAATCCCAAGTAATTTTGATGGAACTGAACATTTTCTCAAATCCCAATACCATCTCTAGCTCTCAGGATGTAGGCCTGGATCTTTCTTTTTTAGGTCCCCTCTGGTGCCTCAAATTCAGCATATCAAAGATTAAAGTGTCCTCCCTAAGAACCTGCTTCTCAAGGCTTGGTCTGTGGATAATGGGTCCCGCCCATTTCTCTAACCTCCTCTCCAGTCAATCTTCTCCTCTATGCCCAGTTACATAGGACTTTTTTTTTTCTCCTCTTCTCAAGGAGTACATCTAGCCTTTTTCTAACCCAAGATCTTGGACTTGTTCCTTCTTCCAGGAATGCATCCCTTCCTCCCTTTTATCTGTTGGCTCCTTCTTGTTTTCAGGACCCATCACTTCATGTATTACCTTCTGAGAGAGTCCTTCCCTGACCATCATATATATATCATGTTTCCACAACTTAAATGTCCAAAAACAGATGAATGGATACAAAAGATGCAGTATATATATACAACGGAATATTACTCAGCCATGAAAATGAATGAGACTGGATCATCTATAGTGATGTGGATGGACCTAAAGTCTGTCATACAGAGTGAAGTAAGCCAGAAAAACAAATATCATATATTAATGCATATGTGAGGAATATAGAAAATGGTACAGATGAACCTATTTACAAGGCAGGGACAGAGACACAGGCATACAGGATGGACATGCGACCATGGGGAGGGTGGGCAGGAGTGCAGGACATTGGGAGAGCAGCACTGACACATACACACGACCACGTGCGGAGCGGGAGCCAGCGGGAAGCGGCCGTACGGCTCAGTGAGCTCAGTTAAGTGCTCTGTGACGACCCAGGGGTGGAGTGGGGGTGGGTGGGAGGCAGGCTCAAGAGGGAGGGGCTATATATATACATACAGCTGATTCACTTTGTTGAATAGCAGAAACACAACATCATAAAGCAGTTATACTTTATTAATAACAAATAGCAACAATAACAAAAAATAAAGCAGACTTCCATAGTCTTATTCACCATCCTACTACCCTCTTTAGTTCCTTCATCACAGTTATCACAACCAGAGACTGTCTTATTTGCTATTTATTGTCTGTTTCCCCCAGTAGAAGGCAAACTCACAAGAGCAGAGATTTTCTTCTTCAGTTGGTTCATCGTGGTGTCTCCTAGGCCTTGTTCCTGGCCCTAAGTAGGTGCTCAACAGATACTTACTCAACAAACTGTGCATGCAGTCACCCACATTAGTAACTTGAAGGCAAAATTCTTTTCTCTCCTTCAGCCTCTACACGAACAATTCATCATACCCTACTGACGCCATCTCAAATACAACTCTTCACCCCATCCTCTGTACCCATCCCAACGGCCAGTGTTCCAGTTACAGTTTTTATCGACAATGAAAAAACTCCAGTGGCGGCTGTATGAGCTCTATTTGTGATGTGAGGCTGGTGAATTTAGTAGGTGTGACTAAGCCCCTGCTGCAGTCCATGGGGTCACAAAGAGTTGGACACGACTTAGCAACTGAACAACAAAGCCTAAGGATTGGGCACCACATGGAATTTTGCTGCTACAAGGTCATGAACTGCACCATCCACTCCAACTCACTTGTGTCATGCTGGAAAATACACAAAAAAAGATTGTTGGTTGTTGACTCAGAATAGCCCATCTCCTCTGTCAGGAAAACAACTGCTCAACACTGGTCCAACACTGGAATCACCAAACATTTCCTACTGTGTGCATTCAATGCATTCCCTAGATGCATCATCGCACTTAATCCCTACAGCTCCATTTATAAAGTAGGTGGAGAGGTTTCTTTTTCTTAAAGCTGAGGAAACCTAAGATCAGATGGGTAAAGGGTCTTGTGGAAGGCATTATAGCTGAATGGAGGTGCAAGGATTTGAACCATGTCTAGGATACTTGTTCAGCAAGCTTGTCCAGGTCAGAGAGGTAGCTGGACATCTCTGAAGTTTGCTAGAGTTATAATATGCTGTTCAGGGAAGATGGATTAATAGCTTGTTGACTGGTCTAAAATGTAGCAGTGAAACTGCAATCACTTGAAATATTTACAATTAGATTGAAAAGAAAGTGCCCATAGCAGAAAGTGTAATGTATATGGCTTTGATTCTTGAGGGATGCATTAGACCACTCGGTAGGGGTTTCTAGCTCTTATTTCCTGAGCTTCACTAATTTTCTCTTGAGAGGTCAACTTATTGCTCTCTAACCTTACTGGCTGATTCCTTAATAATGTAGCAATACCGTCCCTCTTTTAAAAGGAGAG